AAACCCAAACATTTGGCCACTGTCCTTCACACTTATCCACATGTTGCCATGTGTCTGAATAAAAGTGAAATTTAACCCCTTGCAGTGGAATAAGTGGTGTATTTTTTACTGTTACATTGTACCTAACTCTTACCTGGTAATAAGCTGAATTTCATCCTGCTTTGTCCATTCCTGCCCACCTTTTTCCTTCCAATTTAAATAATTCAACCTGCCATATGTAACACATTCAACACAAAATTAACCATTTATGACCTCATAAAATTACTCCGCATACCCCAGGCTTGAGCAGGTAGAACTCACCATTTCGAGCGGCACTGTTTCTCTGATCTTGTGCCGACCCTCTGGGCCACAGCGGCCCATGATATTCCTGCTGCAATGAAATCCCCAGAAGCTGCACTGCTAAGCTCATGTACTGCACTGGACAGTCTTTGCTCCTCCTCTGCAGTCCACTTGCCTTTAAGATAAAGAGTTTGTGTTACTTTTAAAAGCTGCAGGAGATTTTTCTCCCGATCATTAGTTACACGATGTCTGTACTTTGCAAAACTAAGTTCATTTAGCCCTACTACCCTTGGACAGGCTTCTCCAGAAAATTTATAGAAGACAGAGAATGTCTTGTATACATGTATTAAATAGCAACGTGCCTTCTGAGGCTAACATCCTCAGGACCAAGTCTAACTGTCCATCTCAAAGTGGCACTGACTTTTGTTAAGACAAAGTTAACACTAATATTTGGCAGGGACAAGCCTTATATCTGCTTCAGAAGTGTCTTCCTTTTAGCAGAGGCTGTGTTGAAGATACCTGACACAATATTATTTGTACATGAGGTAATCATACGTATGTAAGTGCAATAAGGATTCAAACCACGAGTGATGTTTGAAAATTCTTGCAACATTGCTTGACCCTTTAGGCAAGTGCAATTTGAAAGACCTTTTAAACACTGGTTGGTAGTACATGTATCCTGAGAAGTGTAAGTCCTTAATTGCTCAAGCTTGTTATATCCAGACTCAAACCTGAATGGCAGTGATCTCGCATAAGTCTGAATCTGTCCTTCACAGATGAAGCACTTCGCCCCATGGCGGCACCAATTGTGGCCCAGTCATTTCCATGTTTCTCTTTCAAGGATTTTAACTGTTCCACTTCTTCTGCAGAGTACTTTCCCACATAATTCCTTCTGTCATACATGCGAAGCACTCGGCGGTAGATGGCGAACAGAGGACGTCTGATTCCTTTGGCTAAAAGAAAAAGTGTGTCACTTTGAATAAGTACTTCATTAGTGGAACCCACAGCGTCCTTACTGGCTCCCATATATGTCTCACAGTTTTATTTGAGATTATTGTACGGCTTGTGTTTGTAGCCGATATGTATAACAAATGCTCTGATTGGCTACTTTGAGGTCATTATTTTCCTGTAATGTCCACAGGCTAATTACAGGGCTGCAAAACCATGAAAGCAAAAAGCTGTATAATAAACAACTTATTAACCTCAAATATTCAGTCTTCACAGGAAAATCTCAAACCTTGACCTTGCAGCGGATCGCTTGGTCAATACAGCGAGGTCTCAGTTTGAAATTTTCCTGTAAAGACCTCATTCTCAGTTAATAAGTACATGTAGTTAGTAATTATTTTTTTACCAGGTTATAGAAACACAAGTGCAAGTTTGGGAGAACAAGAAATCAAAAGTTGCAGGTGTGCATTTTCTCCCAAACTTTTTCATATGTTTCCACAACCCGATAGAAACAGCCAATGAAAATGTTTTCTACTTTTTTTAGAAAACACTGTGAGGGGAAAAAATTACTCAATACATTTATTTCATCATCATCATCATCAACACAAGATATAATCTACACCTATCATCAACTTAGTACAGATTATTCAATCTGTTTACCTATTGTTCTGTAGAAGTCTTTACGATCATCTTTAGTCATTTCAAATATGATTATATTTGGATCAGGGATGTTGTTGGCCTGATAGAAAAACAAAATATAATTTAAAAAATTATAATTAGTAAGACTAACACATTTACTCTCCAACTGCAAAGAAGTGTATTAATCAACAGAAAATAACCCAGAATTTTCTGATGTACAGGCATTGAAATGAGAGTTTAATAAAACCATTAATAGCCCTCTGAGAGTTGCCTCAGTTGCCAAGAAACTTAATTACATATGTCTGCCATGAAAATACTAAAATATATTTCCCCCATGTTATTGTAAACACAAAAATTTGATGCCATTTTACGATTGGGGTTAAAAATACAAGTCAAAAATACAATGTGCATACCTTACAGTATTCAAGTATATTTTCTTTCAATTGGTCATTTTCTTCCTTAGACCACATTCCTTGTTTCCACTTGACACCTAATAAAGTTTATCAGGATTATTTTCAAACATTCACTGTCTTATGAAGAAGATGGATTTTGTAAAATTGCCACTTACGGGTACAAAGATTTTACACTGTCTAGGGTTAACTTAAACACTTACACATTTGTCACTGATAAATCACCTTATAAAAGTTATCAATGATAAACAACATCATTGATTGAAGTACTGCATGTTCAATTGCTTACATTTGAATGGTCACACACCAGGATTTCATCCACATGCTGAACACTCCTCCAGAAACATATATATATTATTTGATCATATGGTGGCCTCATGGTTAGTGCGCTCGTCTCCAAATCGAGCGGTCCGGGTTCGAGACCTGGCCGGGGACATAGTGTTGTGTTCTTGGGCAAGACACTTTACTCTCACAGTGCCTCTCTCCACCCAG